CTCTGTCTCTGGGTCTCTCTGTTTGTTCGCGTAAGAGAAAGAAGGAGTTTTTTTTTTTATATTTATTTAGAAACCGTATTCAGCGAATACGGTTTAAGAAAGATTTAATTGACAATCATTTCAGAAATACAGTTTCTAAAAATTAAAAAAAAAAATGATACGAGGATCCCAGATTCGGGACTCGAACCCTGGTCAATGGGCGAGTCCGTTTTCTCTGGGCGCACCTCGTACCATTGTGCTAGCGAACACTTTCGGTTTATTCTTGTACAAATTATATACATATACATATACTATGCATATTATAGAATAATTTGTAATTTATATAGTCTACTTAATTTATATTATCTACTATATGTTATACCATATAATATAACATATGTTATAACAATAGATAACATATGTTATATACATTATATACTATATGTTACATATGTTATAGCATATGTTATATTATAACATAGATGTTATATTATATGATATATTATATAATATAACATATGTATATAATATAACATGTATGTTATAATATAACATATAATATAACATATGTTGTAATATAACATATGTTATATAATATAACATATAGTAGATAATATAGCATATGTTATAGCATATGAACATATGCTATAACATAGATGTTATGTTATAAACTATATTATATTATATGATATATTATATAATATAACATATGTTATAATATAACATCTATGTTATATTATATACTATATGTTATATTATCTACTATATGTTAAATTGTCTACTATATGTTATATTATATTATCTACTATATTGTATATTACATATAGTGAACAATTTAACTATATAACATATGTTATAACATATACTATATGTTATAACATATGTTATACTATATGTTATATGTTATATCATCTAGTATATTATCTTATATCATATACTATATGTTGTATTATATACTATATGTTATATTATCTACTATATGTTAAATTGTCTACTATATGTTATATTATATTATCTACTATATGTTATATTACATATAGTGAACAATTTAACTATATAACATATGTTATAACATATACTATATGTTATATAACATATGTTATAACATATACTATATAACATATGTTATAACATATACTATATGTTATATTATATGTTATACTATATGCAGGGGCGAAACCACAGTATTAATCGAAAAGGCGCCGGCCCTTCCAA